GATCTGATGTTGTGTCGAGTAGGCTGCGTCTCCACTTTCGTCACATTGAGATGAAGTCGATCTGATTTTCAGTCTCGTGTGTGTATCTGGTGAAATCAAATGCATGTTGCTGCCTTGTGAATATCCTTGTATTTGTACACACTGCCTCACCCTCAATCACCAAATCTTTGAATGTGCATAAATCTGCAAACAGTTCTTCATTCTCATTCACCATTTCACCGAGTGCTTCTCGACCCATGATCACTTCTCTTCCTGTGTTTTCCAATCCCGGTTTGGCATTCATGTCACCCCATCTATTAGAATTTTGATGTCACCAAATGGGGTGGCATCTTGTCCAGTACTGATTCCAGTTGTCTATAGGATCCCTCCTTGTCTTCATCTGCATTATTTGTAGGTGCATAGCGTAGCATTGAATGATAGTGAGTTTCCTTCCTTTTGAGTTGAAACTTGCTGTCATGATCCTGATCCTGCAGGAGGAGATTGGTTCCCACTGTATGAGACTGTCTTCGATGCTCTTCAAGGGGATATCATGATTGCCACTCGAAGACTCAGTGTGCTTGTGGTTGTCGTGTGGGTGAGAATATCGGAGTAGACTATCCACTCTCCAGTTGACAGTTTGGAGACTCCAATTCCATTCCATCTGCTGATTCCTCGCAGATTCCAACCACTTATATGCTATTCCTTCTCATCTCTTTGGCAATCCGGGCAGCCTTGCCAGCCAGCTTCAAACATTGTCCGGACATTCCATGTCCACATTCTTACTTCCGCTTTCATTAAGGGGAGCGAAGATGCATCGGCTAATTAGTTTCCCGAAGGCTTTCACCAACTGGCGTCATTCCATCTCCTCGATTCCAGGGAGAAGTGGGTTTGTATTTATTTTTTACATTTTGTTTGTGCTATGAATTTTGCTTAGAGATTGGAATGGTTTTACTGGGTAGGGTTAGGGTTGCTATCTGTATGTATAACCTTGCCTGTTTATCCGGTCTTAGGATGGGCTATTAACTAGTGGACTAGTTAACTAGGTGAGGCTCGACGCCTGAAAAATTATGTGTCATATTTAATAAAACTGAGTGACTTCAAAGGTCACCCTAGCAGCTGTTGACATAGCCAATAATACTTTTTTATTTTAGGAAAATCCACCTTTCCAGACAAAATACAGAAGTCTCATTGGTGATTTCAGCAGTGCAACGGTTAAAACTGTTCCACAGCTGTCAGATTTATTTTTGATAGGTTTACTGTCTAAAACTTCATTTCTTATCTAAACATGGTAGTGTTATATCTCTCAGTTAATCATATAGTCAATCCTTTATAACTTTGACTGATCACATTGTCTTAAGCACAATAATTCCGCCGATTCACTCTTATCAATGACCTTGAACGTGATTGATCTCTAGTATGGTTCCCCAGTATCCAACCTTCAATTCATTCACACCATGAATCACACAATTCTCTCCTCCCAACCGGTTACCGAAGTCTGATTGGTCATTTCAACAGTTGTCAAAGTGATCTTAAAAGTCATTCAAAACTTTCAGCATCCCACTGAAGCCCTTCTACATCTGTCAGATTAATTTAATCATTCTTCAAAACTTCATTTCTTACCTATATCAATATGGTGCTATTCGAATATACACAACACTAGACAAGTTGAGCAAAATGATGCACCACCCAGACTTGTCACTCCACTGTTCTCCACATAGACTGTAGAAGTATTTCAATCTCCAGTTGATCACAAATCGACTTTGTTATCCTCAGCATTTCGTGTCTCATCAAGCCGACAAAAGATGAAGGAGATAGTGACTATCAGCCTGTAACCTACATCGACATTGTCATACATACAATTTTAAAGCAGGTAGAAATAGAAAGAGGAAGTGCTTCAATACAACCCTGTCATTGGTTCATCAACACAGTAAATTGTCCAATCAGGTTATTTCGATCATTCATTGATGATGATCAGTGAATGTAGCAGGAGAGCTTCAACTTAAAAAACTTGATTCCTCTTCGACTTTCATTCTGTCGATTGTGATTTGATACTTTTAAACATATGTGTGTAGAGAGACTGTATTCTCGTATAACTTGACCTGATTGTGATTGTGATGAACACGTGATTGTGTTGATTCAGTGTTAATGCTGACGTTGAAGGTGATTGGTTGCTGAATGTTGTGCAATCAATTTGTCTAGACGATGAGTGAAGTAAATCTGCCAGCCCGTCCCCACCGTCCCCCACTGGAGTACAACAGAATACAAAGTCTGGTGTTTATTGTGTGTGTGTGTGTGTGTGTGCGTGTATTTAGGTGAGGTGACTCATGTGTATATATATACAGGTGAATGGTGTGACCACAATGTAGCATAATTTTTATGGGAATGAGATGACTGATTTCGAGGACAAGATATGAGATAATGCCGACTAGTGGGTTTCAGTGAGGATGCAATTATTTCTGAAAAATATGTGTGTATGTATGTTCCTCTTGCTGCATGGGGTCGAGCTGCCTGACTTCTGTTGGCAGATGTGCTTCTATGCAGATGCCTCGATACTCCCAGATATTCTTGAAATTATATTGGTCTTGGTGACTATCTGCACCCTAGTGAGTGTTGTTGTTCCCATTGAGGCCCGAACCCAGTCGTTCAGTGGATAATGCTGTGGCGTTTGAAGCTATGAGTACTAGGTTTCAGCCCCAGTGGGAACAACATTACTCTCCACTGGAGTATAAGTACATCCAACTGACGAGGTCGAAATAGGGCGAAACGTGCCTTCTGGACTCCTCTGCTAGTCACTAATATCAATATAATTCGATTTGTCACTCAATTGCTAAAGGCTCTGAAGGAGGTAACGAGAAACATAGAAATGAAACGCTGGAAACAAGCCAATGTAAAATTCAAGGACTTTTGTATAAACTACGTTTAACCTAATATTTCAATATTTTATGAAGACTTGGTTTAAGTTCCTAACCTCGCCTGGTTAACAGCTTCTAGGCTGTCGTGGAACCAGGTTCAAAAGATCTCAGAGAATAGAGGTCACTGGAGACGTGCTACTGAAGCCCTATGTTCCACTAGGAACCCAAGGGACTAATAATAATAATAATAATGGTGTAAGTTCCTAAACATTAATCTCATCAACCGTCACTTATGGTTTTCCTACAACACCGATTGATACACACTGTTGTTCGTAGATAGTAGCAAATAATAATTGACCTTTCTTCTACTGTCATTCTTGTTAACAAAGTCATACTTTCCTGAATCTAGATATGCTAAACTGATGTAACTCGTTTCACTTACTCTTCAGTCAATTCAATACAGATTTCATAGAAGACCCTCGAAGTTTCTTTTACTTCCATATCACTAATATATCGACTCATCTTCTGAATTTGTTCTACAACTACTTGACTTTTAGTAGATATACAATAAGCAAACATTTTTAACACAATATTAAACTAATATCCAATAATAGTAAAGATGGATATTGGTTGGCAGTGGAATCCAGGATGACGAGTGCCAAATAGGACGAAATGCGCATCCTGGATTTCATTGTTAGCCACTATCCATCTTTACTATAACCAGAACACAGGCAATATAGAAGCATCTGCACAGGATCCCATATACCAATAGAGACCAATCAATGACGCTGTAATGCAAGCAATAACACCAAAAAAACAACTATACCCGTCACACAAGAAGTGGCTATCGTGGCTTGTTGAGGGCAGTGGATAACGCTGTGGCGTTTGAAGTCATCGCTCCTGAGTTCAAGTCTCGGTGGGAGCAGTATCACTCACTGGGAGCCGGCAGGTACATCTAGCTAACGAGTCCCAAATAGGAAGAAATGGGCATCCTGGATTCCACTGCAAGCCACTATTAATCTTTACCATAACTGGAACACAGGCAACATCGAGGCATCCGCACAGGATCTCATATGCCAATAGAGAGCGATCAAATCGGTCCAATTAACGATGGTATAATACAAGCAATGCATTAAATTACTAGCAATGGTTACCGTAGTTTCACTTAATCTAAGTCAACTTTATTTGCAATCTTACATTGTACAGTATTTTCAACAGACTGATAACAAGACAAGACGATATTATTTATATTATTGTAGTTTTAGTATCACCATTATTATTATTATTATTGTTATTATTATTAATGACATTATGATACAAGGTGTGTGGGTGGGTGGGTGTGTATATTAGTATTGTCATAGATACATATCTCAGTACCCCGTATCCTTATCAGCTGTATATGTTTGTAAATGATCGATACCAAGAACAAGGAATATAATGATAACAGATGAAATCAAGGGTATTTACAACAGTCTGATGTGACGACTAGGGTAGAAAAATATGAATTAAATAATAATAGTAATAATAATAACAGTAATAATGGTAATAATAATAATGGTTAAAAATTTTCTGAAAAGTAAATGCAAACAGGAATGTGAGAAAGTCTCATAATGTCTTGTATTGATTTGTTTAGAAAAAATCTACTCCCTTCTCGTTGATGATATCCATCCAAACTTAAAATTCAGTAAGTAGTTGAATGGTGAACAGTGATCTTTCTTCATTTTGTAATAGTATGCTCACGAGGAAAGTAGCGACTTTATGCGATGTTATCTACTATAGTGTGCTGCTGTTGGTTAGCCAAACAAAATGTAGTAGATAGACAGACAGGCAGACAGACCAATCAAAATGCTCCACTGGTTAGCTAATCGATTGAACCGTGCATAAACATTGAAAATTGACATATAACTATGAATTTCGCGCAACTAACCTTATAAGATAAAATTATAGTCATACTGATTGATGATGACGTTATCGATAATAATATTCAAACAGTTTGGTGATATTAATATGAGACGTGGATATGAAGAAACAATAAAGAATTTTCTAGAATATAAACTTAGCGAAACGAAAATTCACAAACATTTACACAAGCGTAGGAAAGAAAATCCAATGTGAATAAAGAGTAAAGTACAGTGTATCCACTATAAGATTCATTATTGTTATTGCCACTATTATTATTATTATTATTATTATTATTATTATTATTATTATTATTATTATTATTAGGATTGGATCAGTTTTTCAATCATATTCAACTTGTGATTAACCATGGTCAGTAGTATTTAGTAGTTATATGTCATTTATTTAACGTGAATAGGATACTTTCTTAATCATCAATAGAGGTGCAAAAATGCAAAAGTGTGTAGACAAATCAAATGATATTATCCGCCATTGAACATTGAAAAGGCGGTATACAAATAAAAGTTTATAATCTAGATAGAAACAATAGAAAATTAGTCAATATGTTTTTCTGTGTTACTTTTAAATATATTTAAGAATATGAATCGATTAGAAAGTTACTCAATGATGAAGATAAAGAGGAATCAAACAATAATTTGAAGCTGTTACTGGGTATTTCTTTTTTAATTGTTCTTCTTTAGTTCACTTTTTAAAATTTTTTATTTATCTTTATTATCTATTCAACAGGATCATCTGCTAACAGCATAGCCTTAAGTTGACTATCTTCCATGCATCCTTTCATAAACTCTTCACGTGTTAACACTCCATCACCATTTTCATCCATTTTTTCAAATATTTCTTCAGCTCTAGCTTCTGGACTTATATCAACAGCTGTATTGTCTGTACCAAGCATTGAATAGATAGCCTAATTATGAAAGAAAATATATGAGAATAAGGAATAAAAAGTAGGTTGAAGTGAAACCGAAAGCAAATAGATTCTTTTCCTTTTTTTTGTACTTGTCCTCATTCCCTAATTGTTTGATCCCTTTACACCAGACCTTTTTATTGGAACCTTGGAGGAATTCATCATTAAAGCATATCATTAACGAGAACAGTAGGAGTAAGTCAGTCGGTGGTTTATAAGGATTGATTAGTTTTGTTATGGTTTCGAATACTAATGGTTATATATTCCGAAACGAATATAATACGCGCGCTTAGCTGACAGCTAACTTGGTACGCAAGAGTCACTGACTGCAACCCAGCACGAATAGAGAGAAGACCGGAGCTGGCACATGGAAGAGTGTATTACTCCGAGAATATAATATAATGTAATGAGAAATCAATCCAAAACACGTGAATAAGTATACACATGAGAATGACCTTGTCCGTGATTGGAGAAATTTGCATAGTAAGAGTAAAAGTTAACCAATCAGCGATTTACATTACAATAGGGGCAGAAAATAGACTATTAGTCATACCGAAAAAAGTGGTATGGGAATGGCACGTTAAAATGTTCAGATCAGTAACAATGTTTCATACAAAACTGAGGCATCACAACAAGTTTGAAGGTAAATTTCGTCACATGCACGGATATCAATTTTACGCCAGTCTACTTAAACCTTCACTTATGTAAAGTGCTTCTTCTGGACTTGTTAAAATGCTTTCAACCAATCATTTTGTGAGTTATTCATGAAAGTAAGAAACAACCTCACAATAGATCGTGATCGACTCTAAGAGTTCAGCACTACATTTTACAACTATTCCTGAAAGACTTATCTTGAACCACTGACGGAATAAACCTTCATCACTGAACATACACACACACTTTTCTGTTCGTTTCTAGTATATAACAATGTATCTCCAGAGTAGTCGAAAAGTCGAACAAAAGTTGGTTATCATACTTTATTTCTTATCGTACTGTTATTATTAATACACATTTACACTGGTTATCTTTCAAGACTTATTGAGAGAAACATGAGACCTAAGCATTTCCAAGAAGGAACCCTTACGGTTCCAAAGATGACACATTTTATGAATATTGAGTTCGACAGAGATAATCAAGAATCCACTGTACAAAGCACTGAAGAAGACCTTCATTTCCACCCAGCTTCAGGTTGTTTTCTCCAGTCAACAATTGATTCGAGGGTGTGTAAGGCACTAACTATCCCTTTGAGCCATCTCTTTCTGTACTTACCAGTTCACCTGCCCTTGTCGACCTGGTTACATAGGTAGCATAAAAAGTGTTCTATCCAAACACGTCTCCGAACACCATTCTGCATGGCTGTCTAAAGGAGAGTGTAAAGCAATCAACACCTCAATTCCCGAGCATTTAGTGGACTCTGGTGACTCTGCTTCACGAGAATATTCCTTCAAAGTCAAACGTTTTGAAAGGAGTGTGTAATCCTCACTTTAATATAGCATGTGCTTTGGCAATCCAGTGGGTCAAGGCAGATCTTTATGTTCAAAAGAGATACAATCAATCTCTAATTTTACCTTGGTCATAGTCTCTCTAAAACATTTTTTGTTTGTTTATCTCAACCTCATAAGCAGTTTTTTGATGACCTTGAGTTGACCTTCTAGTGGTTTTATCACCTTGTGACTTTATTGACCAATTTTAATGACTTTGTACTGATCTATCCGCTATTAACGGATATATACTTTTTGTTGGAACTATGATTACGACTGTACAGCTTTGAGAATGGTTCGTCGAAATGGGAATTTCCTTTGTTGAATTGTCTTCAGTCAATTAGACGCCATAATCAACTTATTAAAAGGTATTGTAAGCAGAGTAAATCTGTTAAAATATTACTGTCTCAGAATTCCGTACCGAATGAAACATATTGTCTGGAATAAAGTGATTATTATTATTGTTATTATTATTATTATTATTAGTAGTAGTAGTAGTAGTAATAGTAGTAGTAGTAGTAGTAGTAGTAGTAGTAGTAGTAGTAGTGGTAGTAGTAGTGGTGGTGGTGGTGGTAGTAGTAGTAGTAGTGTGAGTAGTAGTAGTAGTAGTGGTGTGAGTAGTAGTAGTAGTAGTAGTAGTAGTAGTAGTAGTAGTAGTAGTAGTAGTATTGCTGAAAGAGCAGCACAAAGTCACTTTTCGTGTGCACAACAGTACATGTGATCTTTTGGTAAAACAGGAAGTACAGAATCCCACGGCGTCAAAGTCAATATCAACACCAGCAATCAGTAAATTCTGTCACGAAGTATACCTTGAAAACTGACAATTTATCAATGTCTAAAATACAGTCGAATTGTACTTGTTCATCATATTAATTTTGTTGTGAATGGATTATCTGAAGTGATTAGATGGTTGTGCAGTCCTAATAAACCCACTGACTGACTCCTACTGACATACACATATAATTTATATGAAGGTTCACTAGATATACGCTTTACTCAAGTGTAAAACTTAATACATAAAACTTAAGTCGCATTCATTCCTAAATTAGTTTACATCCTTTCGACGACTGAAATTTCCTTTTCAATAAAGCCTAGTTGTGTGTTACCTAGGCAACAGATAAAATAGTCATTTCATAGGAAAAAGATTGGTAATTTGATTGCAGTTAGCCCCTAAATGTGCATATACCTACAACTAACCACCTACAAGTTCATATCTGGTGGAATAACCCCCCCACCCCCGCCCCGGAGTAATACAGTCATGCATTTACCCACCCCTATGGCTATACATCAACCTGGTTTTCGCCTTCAGTTTGTTGACTGAGGTAAGAGTATATGTTGCTTCCTGTTAAATAGGTTATGTTTGCATATAATACAAATGAGAGGATTATAACTTTTTATACGCTACATTAAATCAGTCAGTTAGTGGATCTTGTATAGTTAGTTAATGGAGTTATCATTCCAGTAATCAGGTTCATCACCTATAGATATTTATGGGCGTCTCTGCTTCCTGTTTCCTTAGTTGACTACTCCTAACTTCCTTCCTCATCATTTTCTCCTGTAGAGCATTCCTGGGACGGTGTGCTGACAGATTCATTAGAGTCCTTCTCATGACATTTATCATGCGTACTTTATGAAGGGAATAGTACTGATGAAACAAGAAATGAATGTTGATCAGTACTTATCGATTTATAAAGAATTCAATCTGAAAGCATCAACAAGTAATCTTCATTTAACCGTTAGGAAACATTTCCACCTACTTATAAGTAGTTGAACAGATTTCAAAAAAGTTTATTCCTGATTGAGTCAAGAAATCAGACAGATGGATGGGTAGATAGACACCAATGAAAAACATTACACTAAAGTGTACACATTTGAGTTACCAAAGTATCTTAGAAAGTGGAATTGGATAAATATAGAATCAGACTAGAGTAAATTTGGAAATTCTGTGGAGTGAGAGAGGGAGGTGAGACAAATAAGTGAACATGATCTAAATGTTTCACGCTTTCTAAAGACTATCACAAGTGATTATATCTCCACTGTGATCTGTTTTGATCCATACCATCAAAACTATCTATTTATTGATTGTAGATGCCTTGGAAACTCCTATCAGGCAATCTACACCTTATATGACTTTGATTGGTTACCCTCAACTTTCTGTCAACTTAGCTGCATCTCTTATAACAATAAACTCTGAAGTAGACGACGGTTGGGAATGTGTAAGATATATCTAACCTATCTCATCCCGCAAAGTTTAAGCGAAGGAACTGTGTATGTACAATTAAGCAGACAACTACTTATAGAGGTGAAAGATGTAATTAAGGTCAAATTAATCTGATCTAAGCAACAGATGGCATATATAATCAGTTAAACATAATCTGTGGGTCAGTAGGCAGCTAATGGATGTAAGCCTCCAGCTCTATCCATTCTAACAAAAACTTGTGCATAACCTAAGGAATGAAATGAATTCTCTCACCAGTCATTTCTTTTTATCGTAAAAAGTAATATATATTCATTAAAATGAACATTTCAGTTCAAACTGAAAGTGTCAATAAAATGGTATCTTGCATACTGAAGAGTAGATAACTGCATTGATTCTTCCACTAGTCGCCAGTTTGTTTGTGCACACTAGCCCTACGTAAGGCCATCATGAATGGACTGACTTCAGGCACTGTTTGATACGGACCTGAAGGGTGAAGGTTACACTTCGTTGATGAGTGCCAACAAACACAAATCCTTGATACAAAGCTTCCTATCAGTCATCTTGTAACATAAGTACTCAACGAAAACTGTCATACTTACAGTTGAAAATGATGTAGGAACAAATCTCCTAACGAGAAGGCAGCAGATTAAACTTCATATTATATTATTACCAGGATCACGTATATTATTTGTATGAAAAGAAAACAGTTTTCAGTATAGAATGACATCATTCGAGGAACTATAGTAAAACTCGAAACAGTAGACAGCTGTTTCTTCCTAGTCCCTTACTCCGTGTCAATATACACCGACAACTCTGTGTGAAATCGAACTCATGACTATCAGTTTCCGAAACAATTTGCTTAAAAAAACAGCAGGAGGAGTACTTTAGATGCTGACACTGTTTTACATCATAATATTGTTTCTATTCTAGACAAATGTGCCTTCTTAGATTTCCCATCAGCATCTGACTCTGTTTCTAGACCACTCTTGTCATTTAAGCTTGCCATAGCTCATATCAAGCCATGGATTACAGAGTGGATGTACTTTTATTCTTCTGAAAGGAAACTCAATGTTGTTTGTAAAGGCAAGAACTTTGCTTCATTGCCTACTGAAGCTAGTGGGCCTCGAGGAGCAGTGCTTCCGTGTTTGTGTTTTCTTTATTTGTGCATGAATTACCTCATTCTTTTGAAACAAATTTTATTAAATATGCTGATGATCTGACGGTGTCTATTCCAGTCAACTCTCACTTAGACTGTTGGGAATTAAATAGATTCTTGTCTATAATTGACCAATGGTCTCTTTCAAATGGTCTCAAGTTGAACTCTTCAATATGTTAGACTGTTAATTTTAGCCTCAGGCACAATCAAAACTTGTGTGAGCTGCTGCATAGGTTCCATGACTCCTGTTGTATTGATTGTATTACTGCAGAAAGCAAATCGAGTGTTAACTATCTTGGATTGAGTTTTACTTCTGATCTTTGTTGATCATCTCATATCTTGTGGATTCCCAAAAAAAACCTTTTGTTTGATGTATTACACAAAGAAACTAAGACTCTCTGCTGTAACTCAACCTCTTCTTTTACAATTTGTCAACTCCTACACTTTACATATTCTTCTCTATTGTTCCTCGTTGATCCTTCTTGGTCTACTGAAAAAGGACTATGTTATATTGCGTAGGGCTTTGAAAACCGTCGGTAGAGTAAGTTCTGTGCCTCTAGCTCTGTTGATTAGCACTATAGTTGACAGACATTTAACTGACACTGAGCATCCACTTCCTTCACGGCTGTCTCCTTGTATCTCCTAAGGAAGGACAAGAAGAAATTTTATCAGACTGTACGCTCGTACAGCTTAATACAAGAATTCGATGGTGTCTTACCTAGCACATATCTTATGTGAGGAAAAGTGTGTTAGAACAGAACTCATTTATCAATTTTGTGACAATGAATACTCAGTCTTCCCAATATTTTAACTAACAGTGTAAGTTTCCGCGTCACTTCGATCACTGAAGGTTTTGCCTGACTGTCGTGTAAATCTGTGATGCATCAGCATCTCGTCAACCTCACCTGGTCAACTAATTCACTAGTTAATAGCCCGTCCTAAGACCGGATAAACAGCCAAGGTTATACATACGGCCAGCAACCCTAACCCTATCCAGCAAAACCAATCAAATTTCGAAGCAAAATTCAAAGCACAAACAAAATGTAAAAAATAAATACAAACCCACTTCTCCCTGGAATCGAGGAGATGGAATGACGCCAGTTGGTGAAAGCCTTCGGGAAACTAATCAACCGATGCATCTTCGCTCCCCTTAATGAAAGTGAAAGTAAGAATGGGGACATGGAATGTCTGGACAATGTTTGAAGCTGGCTGGCAAGGCTGCCCAGATTGCCAAAGAGATGAGAAGGAATAGCATATAAGTGGTTGGAATCTGCGAGGAATCAGCAGATGGAATGGAATTGGAGTCTCCAAACTGTCAACTGGAGAGTGAATAGTCTACTCCGAAATTGTCAACCAGATGACAACCACGAGAGACAAACTATGAGGAGCTGTGAGAAGATGAGCATACTCTGGGCCGATGAAAAGACCCACGAAGAAGATTTGGATTTTGCCGATGATGTATGTCTAGTGTCTTGTCGCACAAACTCGAAGATGTACAGGCAGAAACCAACAAGCTGGCAGAAGAGGCGAGGCAGCGAAGACGAGACTTTCTTCGAGTGAACGTAGAGAAGACAGAGGTGATGAAGATGCCCAGCAACAACAACAGAAGGTACCAATCATTTGCGGGAGAAATCTAAAGGAAGTTGTCTGTTTCACCTACCTGCCTAGGCACCATCGTTTCAACTACAGGTGGCTGTACAAATGAAGATGTCAAGGCCAGGAATGGAAAAACAGCAAGATATTCCTTGATTAACCTGAAATCAGTGTGGAGATCTACTGCACCGCACTCAGTACGAAGCGTCAACAAGATCAGGATTTCCAACACCTCTATCCGATGACTGAGAGACTTGGCACGTTACGAAAGCATTTGCAACAAACTACAGACATATGTGATCAACATCTGCCGCCTATGCTCACTGGATACTGAAGATGGAGATCAGATAACCAGAATAATAAGAGTAAGCAACAAGACACTCTGACTGGCTGGCTGGCAACAAACCAACCAAGAACCTATCGCCCATCAAATATGCAGTAGAAGGAAGTGGAGATGGATTGACCATACACTGAGAAAATCATTCGAGGACATCACATGTCAGGCCAGGTCCTCGAGTAGACACCGAAGGGGAAATGACGAGTTTTGCCTGTGAAGGTGACAAGGAGGAGATTGTGTGAGGAAGAAATGAAAGCTTGTGGGCAGTGGTGGAGCCTGGTTAAAATAGAAGACTGGAGAGAAGAGAGTGGAATGGTGAAGTGCTACTGAAGCCGTATGTTTTACTAGGAACCCAAGGGACAAATGATAATAATATCAACATCTCGTCATCATAGTCATACTAGTCGATTCGAATCCTTACGTCACTCAGGTTTTCACTTTACCTTTAATCATCATTCAGTATCGAAAATATTAGTTACTCATTAGTAGTATAGTTAGTAACGGTGAGAAACGTTACAGTTTACATTCAAGAAAACAGAGAAAACGGGTTTGCACTTTGGATTTATAGACAGTTCAGTGTAGTACTGTTTATTTAGTTCTCCAGAAAGTAACCTTTTTCAGGAGGTGTTAATGCACCGTGTAAGAACTACGCTATAGGAGTCTATCCGCGTCTGTTATGCTTTTTTGAGTTTAAAATATCCTATTCCCTTGACGGTTATTATCCTGATCCCCTTCACTTATCTAGGCATTACATTCATGAAATCGAACTCACCCATTCCTATAGCTTATCAACAGAAGTAAATGGATCTCTATTCTGGAGATTTGAAAGCATTAAAGATTTTCATTAACCAGGATCACTGTTACGCCTGTCAGTCTAAGAATGTATCACCAATAGAAACTGTATGTTATGCTATATGTTTGAATGCATCGATCCGTAAGACTAAGATTTTGAACTGTTGGCAATCGGTCTCCTCTCTAAAGCTGACATCAGAGTTAAAATTTATGTTCGACATAGAGAATGGATAAAGCATGCTTAAGACAACATGAAACTAGCCAAATCAAGCCGGTTCACAAATCCGCCTGATTCTCACCTTTTCCTGTAGTGACAAGGTGTCCAACTGGCAAGAAAGTATTCATATACTCATTACTATCATAAAGGATGGTGATTTTTAAAAGTTGAACAATCCTTTTGCATTCATCCTCATGCAGATTCAGTCATTATATTGTTCAGGTGTAATGCAGGATTTCAAATAGTCAGTCACTTGAACACCTATGAGTTTTTTAAGGCCATTAAATTAGTCAGTATCCTCATTTGTTGTTGTTCCCTTTTATTCATAAGTCTATTTCAGCAGTGGTATAAAGATAATGCCTTCATTCACATCGATTGGCTAGAATGTGACTGCTTACATTATCTAATCTGGTAATTGTTACTACTATTGTACAGTATGGAGGTTATACTTCACTTCCAAATGAAAACTGTTCCAACAGATAGACATTTTTATTGCCTCCTTACTTGAAGTATATGTTATGACAACTTCAGTGTCAGATGGTAGCACAAGTGGCTTACATCACTCCCTGATCCCTTGAATACAACCTCTCCATCTTGTCCTTTTCACTTCTGAAAGTCAGTATTAACACAGTTGCTTGTTGCCAAACTTATATGTTATCGAATCGAACATTCAAATAAATCAATAACTATTTATGTTAAGTGATGATTGAAGGTGAAATGAAAATTTTGACCACGATCGGATTCGAACCAACGACTACCGGTTTTTCGGCCCAATGATCTACCAACTCAGTATAAATACTCCAAGTTTACTGAACTACGGCTATCTCATGTAATCAAAATGAAAATCAATAAGTCTTACTCGTATAATCTCAACCATTTCTGTACGTTCTATTGTCCCATTCCCATCTATATCATACATTTGATAGGCCCATTCTAATTTCTCTTCAGGATCTCCACCAGAAGTGATATTGATAGCCAATAGAAATTCTTTGAAATCAATTCTTCCTGAATTATCTTTATCGAATGTACGAAATACATGTGTACAAAACTCTTCTGCATTACCATCTGGAAAAAATCCTGAATAAACTTCAATGAATTTCTTTTTACTCAATTGACCAGATGGACAATCACGCTAAATGAAGATAAACAAAAGAGTAAAGAATAACATGGAACTAATAACAATGATTGTTTATATTATATAGATTAATCAATAATCAATAATCAATATGATATGAATTTATCTAATAAAGTCAGGAGTTCAACTTGGAGGTTTGTGAGAATTAACTTACTGATTTCACATTGATATTCATCATGGATTGACATCAGTTGAAGAATCATTGTAAACCTAGAAGCATTGGACGTGTGTTTCATCCCAGTTTGGGACTCCTTAGCAGATATTGTCCATGATTTGAGGGTCGAACCCAAAGCCTTCAGGTTTCACGGCTAGCACGTTACCGTTGAGCCAATGGGTCAGCGTCCAACGATCCTTCATTCAATTACTTCGTTGAGTAACTGCCCTCATGCTCAATTTGATTGACCGCACCAGCTACGAATTCTTATCAGAACTTAAACAATCTCATCTCGAAGCAATTCACTAAAGAGTACTAGAATTACTCAATTTATAGGTTTACTGATTTCAGGTTGATGCTCATGTGATATGTATGTTCACAGTTACTCAGTGACTGGAAAACGATGGAGGTCACGGTATGTTGTGAAAAGAAAAAAGGTAGGAAATGTGATGCATTGGGCGCCAACCCTGTGACTTAGTGCTAATATGCTGACCACGGGACCTGAATGTCCTGGGTTCAACCTCTTGTAGGGTCATTCTAAGGAGTCCCACTATGGAATAAAACAGCTGTCCAGTGCTCCCAAGTTTATAATGATTCTCCAGCTGACCCCAGTCTATTAGGAATATCAACCTGGAAGTCCGCAACCTTATTTGTAAGTCGTCCACATACCAAAGTCAGTAAGAAATCACTGTAAGCGTATAAGTTCACTGAATGACCACTATATCAGTAAGTTTCCCTGTCAGTTTTATTTTGATTCTGTTCACTTAGTGAGTAGTGGCTAGTAATGAAATCCACGGCATTTGTGTATTTTGTCCTTTACGACAGCCTCCAACTGCATATTACTTTGTTTGTATAAACCTGTGCATTTTTGAAGTGATAGTTACTCCGTTCAAGTTTTATTGAAAACACTGACATTGGAGAGGCAGATACACATCTATGTATGACAAGTCCTAAGTTCAAAAAAATGTATGATGTTTTGATAGTAACATGTGATATTCTTGTTTTTTTCTAAAATGGATAAACTTTCTCCATTAATGGTAATTTATGATGACCTGAAGTTAAGACCGAACAGACATCGAGTCCCTTAGGTCAGATTATAGAGTGATGACATGGGTAGTGAACGATGGATATTCCATTAGCAGCGACTAGTTCGAGTCCTGTACATCTCATCTTTAGTCATAAAGCAATCTTAATGATGATGCTTTGTGGTCACGAGTTGTATTTTTACTCTATAAATGAATGATGTGTAAAACTATTATCAATGTTCATCTTGTTTTGTTGTTTCCAACCATTAACTATTTGGCATGAAGATTTAGCCAGTTATCCATTGAGTTTAATAAAGTATGCAAATGAAAAGCTGCGTCATGTGACAACTCGAGTTTCATTCATATGGAAGTAAAACTTGGACACTGTGGTAGAGTGTGATTTCATTTTAGTCTGTTCATTAGAAAAGTCACATGGTGAAGGAATAGTATCATTTACTGGATACGTCTGCGACACAATTTATTATCCATAGTCTTATCAGAAAACTAACTTCACAACTTCAAGAAAGACTTTATATATTCCTAATTTTCTCTCCTTCTCTGTGATGAAAACGGTAATAGGATTTTCCATATATCTGGAACACAGGTGCACAATCATTTCTATGACTGGGTGCATTTAGTGTTGATTCGATAAACAAAGATTCGGTTATCAATCTCTCTCTTCCTCCATCCAACTAAGTTAGTTTTCAACACTGTCACCCTATCCCACCCAACTGTATGTCATCGCATGCAGAGCTATAGCTGAGCTTTTCTCTAAACTTCTTATCTGATTAGGATGTACTTATCTTGATTTAGTCAAGTTTCTGTGCTCTGTTATTCTAATCGACCCTGGTCGACTGCTTTGACCTATGTACTTAACCTTGTAATCATTGCAAGGGATCTGGTAAACCAGATTAGTTTGCTTAATTTCATCGATAGGATATTTTAACCCACAAAGCTTGTTTCTAAGCGAGTTTGTTAACGTAAATACCCCTTTACTTTCCCAGCCTTATTGAGAATTCTTGGTAATGCTAATAAGGTGCCTTTCTTGGATGATAACACTGCAGAGGCTTTGAATTCTCTCTCAACCCTGTCACCATTATTACTATCAGTAGTAGAACTATTATTAATAACACATATCATTACTACTACCATTACTCTTGAAGTCCTTTTTTCGATTCGTTATAAATTAATTTACAAATTTAGGTGGGTAATCATGTGGGCGCAAGGTATTCTTGATGTGTGTAATTCCTTGTCGTAGATTTATTGGTCTACTGGTAAGCTTTTTCGTCTTATCACTTAAGCAGTTAACTAAGTCTACTTTAACTGAGTGGCGGTCAGATGATTTGATGTCTAAGTAGCGATTGGAATAGAAAGGTTTCCTATAGACACTAGTCTCTAAACTTCCATCTTTTGTCTGTTTAATCTTACAATCCAACATTGCTAGTGTTCACCTTCATGACTTTCTAAATCACAGTTGACTTGGACTGATATATGTGTGCCAAGAACCTATTGGTGCTTTTCGATTTCAGTACTGTGAATGTATTATCTACATATTGGAACTATATCTTTGGGGTTAAATTTAACAGAGCACCAGAACTTAGCTAAGTCAAGATTATTCGATCCTAATATGATAAGAAATCTAGAAAAGAAAAGCTTGGCTATAAAGTGTGTATAAGAAAAGCTCTGTCATATGACAACTGGAGTTTTGTTCAGTCAAATTTTTATTCAGCATCCAGGATCTTCATATTCCATGGCCAGCACCTTACCACTGAGCTAGTGGGTCGGGACCCAATGGTCCACATTTCCTACTTCCTTCATTACACAATATAGTACTACCCTCATCCAGTCTTGTTGTTAAGTAACTGTACTCATGTTCGACTTGGTCGTGACCTCTCCTTGGTACTTCAGAAATTGTATATTGAAGTTAGTCACTAATAAGCACTAAATCAACCTAATTTCTTAGGTTTGTGGTGATTGACTGATTTCAGGTTGGTATTCATCATGAACTAGCATCAGTTGGAGAACCATTGGAAATATGGAAACATTGGACAGCTGTCTCGTCCTAGCAAAGAACTCCTCAGCAGTACACACCAAGTAATATTATTTCGTTATGATAACAACTTTAAAAACTATTTCGATGGTTATTTTAAAAGTGTTCCGTCTTTGTGATCCTTTGACTAGCCAGGATAGTGAAGAAAGGTAAGTTATACACCTTTCGATAACCAATAGTATTTGTGTGGAATGTTGCGTTCTTAACTTCGAGCAAAACTTGTACTTTCTGTATCCAAGACTGAAGGTGTAACCACCAATGTAATCAACAGTGTTCAGCTATCGCAACTAGACGGGATAATACTGAATGATAACTGAGTAACCGATTAGTGCACGTAATTCAAAACCAATGGATGAGAGGGTAACTTCATCTGGATAACTCAGTACTACATGTTCTTGTCTCTGTAAGAGGAGAATTAGTCTTCCAGAGGTGAGTGAACTACCTTACTGGTAAGTGCTAACATACGAGAAAGCTCCTGCACCTCATCTCACTTCATTGCATCACATAAATAAGGGTAATTAAGAACATATTGACAAGAGTTTGAATGATTGGAAGTCAGCAAAGTAAATCGCCACCATAGTAAGACATCTCTGTAAGGAGTTCATATACTAATGGAAGTCGATCATATCAGTCTTGTAAATTAACAATGGCAAAGTATGAAAGACTTTAGTAAAAAGGGGGTACCTATGTCCCAAAGATCGATGGTGTCTCTATTAAAAATCAAACCCAGAATATATCGCTCCTGACGTCAGATGGCTCCCCACTACGCAACTGAGCCACGGTATCTGTAACAACATGGTTCACAGGTACATCAAGCTAATGTGTTCCAAATAGGGTGAAACATATGTCATAGATTCCACTGCTATCTTCTATTCACATCATTAGTATCAGGTTTGAACATACAGGCAATATCAAGGAAGTCCCCTTAGTAGCCCATATCCTAAGAGAGACCGATTAATTTCGTCCAATCAACGATGAGATAATACAAGTAACAATATAAAAATGATATCTGTTGAACAGGATATGATTTGGCTTCAAGTCTAAGTGATGCATTTACATACGCAGTTAAATCATGCTAAGCAGCATCATGTAAGATGAAACACGACTTTTAGGTTCTAATATCCTGACACTTTTACCATTACAACTCTATTTAAATGAGGTGATGACTAACACCAAACAGAGTGATAGTATATATAGTTCACGGTACTGGATTTACACCAGGTTTTGAAACCTTCTCGAAAATTGAATATGCAGTTATAGCATTCCAAATGAACTTGCAGAGGCTAGGTATGAAGATTCACAAGTTGATGAAGCTGAACTGAAATCGAAGATTATCTTTTCAACTGTACAGCCCCAGCAGTCCTAATATCTGGCATAAATAGTCAGTCAGTGGTTGTTCATGGTTTTCAGATAGAAATCATATACCTTAGATTCAAAGCACGTGTACAAAGAAGCTATTCCTACAGCCTATATTTCTTCATTGTTTATTAACAACCGAATCCCTCAGCTTTTGTTGGTATATCACCTTGACGTTTGATTACCTTAACGTCAACTAGTACTGGTATCCAAAGTGTAGATGTTGTAGCACTTAGGACCCCTCAGCTTAAAGCGATGACTGTTAAACTCGAGTTTCATAGTGAATACACATTCATATCAAGATTCAAGTAGACTTAAAGATTCTTTTACTGACCTCTACTCTTAGTTATCACTAGTAAACTGAGATGATGTTTGTACAAATGGTCGGCATGTGATCACTGGTTTCATTTCG